AAAAGAAAAAAAGTTGATATAATTATCATTGAGATCATTTAATCATAAAAAATGTCGATCTGAAATGCTTAAATATATTTAATTCGATCAAAATGTTTACTTAATTTCTCATATTTAACGATTAGTATAATTCTGTGGGTTTTTATATTATTGCAAGATTTGCTTTCGTTTCATAATATAATGTATCGTAAAATGTTAGATTATAGAACTATCAGGATGCAATTCAGAGTTACATCAGAACAACATGCACACGGTGATCGAAGAATGCGTATTTTAGACACGTTATATACGCCTGTACGCGTCGACCGCAGCCAACTCGTTGTAAAGTTTTAAACTGATATGAAACCGCAACAGAGGTATATCCGAACACGACGACCTCGGGGGTACGCGGAAGAGAATTCCCGAAATCTTTCTCGCAGGTTCGATTATCAGAACGTATAATGGAACGTGATTTGCGGTCGAAGGCCGAGATGGAGCGCATCATATTGATTATCGTTGTAACAACGTTCCATGACGAATAAGGTTACCCTATCGTCGACTCTCTTGGAACGGCAAGCAAATTTCTATGAACATTATTTCGAAGATTCAAATAAGCACGTTCGCGATGGGATTCGATTATAAAAGGATATTTACAAGTGAAGATAGAAAATGTAACAAGTTTTAAATATTACGAATATAGCTTAATACAGGAGCATAATTTCTACAATCTAAAAAAGTTGACAACTTTTTAGAAAATATTATTTCGTGCTTACAATGAAAACATGCAAATAGCGTGTAAGAAAAAAAATTTGGAAAAATTTCTCGTAATTTTAATAGTGCTTATTTTTTAATACTATACAAATACATTATTCATAAGACTTTGCTAAAGAAGAATTGAACAAATATGAACACTAATTGTATATTGTTAATATTAGGATGTGTGCTGTTAAAAAAAAATGAAATTTGGCCATATAATTAAGCGTATTTTCCCGACCGACCTTCTTGCTGCGTCAATTGCATAATTTCTGATCGACGATGCATTGATTCGCGATCGATAGAATGAAGTCATCAAGGTACATGGCTATTTCTCAATTCGCGAGTCACGTTACCTATTCATTTACTCGCGCATTCGCTAATCTAAATCTGAATCTGCCATCTGCGAGCTTTCTTAGCTACGTGCATCTGTGAATCTCTTCGTTTTATTGAGTCATATCTCGGTATTCGATACGTGTAAACTGAACATTGTTCATGTATCCAAACAAAACAGCTTGATTAACGAAAGTGTTAAGATGATACACGGTTTTTCTTCGAAAATGAAATCGTTGGTTTATGTTATACTAATTTTCAAGCTAAAAAAAGAAAGTGTGACGACAATGTTATAGTCTAAAGTCTAAGAGATATCGTAACAATTATTTTTTTTTTTTTTTAATCAATAAAAGAAAGATTAATAAAAATGCTTTTTATATATCATATGCAATTTGTATAAAGTAATTAAATCTAAAAGTAAAATGACACACGCTATCACTTTGATGTAGAATAAAATAAAATTTACAAAAATTAATTAGAAAAGTATTAACATTTTATTCTTAATTAAATAGATTCGAATAAACGCGGTAAAAAAATTTTCTCAAAGGAAAAGAATGCTATGATAAAGCGCAAGTTATACTCGCATTTGCGTTCGTAATCGCGAACGGTTTGTGTTACACGCATATTGGTAATAGATATGCTAACCGATGCTAAGTTACTTAAAAGAGATTAGAGGAAGAAATGGAAAGATACGACGCGATGGAGATATGCAAATTCGCGCAGAAGAGTCGACCTGTTGCACCAAGAAGGGTAAAAGGGAAATAGTGAGGGAGGTTGGAAATTTGCACCATGTCCAACGGTATCGCGATAAGATCGCCGATAGTTAACTTACTATCGATTGTGCGCACCTAATACAAGAATTCCGTAGGAAATAGCGATGTTAATGTGTCAATAAATATTACACAACATTACTTATTCGACATTCTCTTCGTGGAATACGCGTTACGTAAAAGATCTTTCTAAAAAATAGACACGTTAGCTTCATATGTTCTTTATCAAGTTCGATAGAAGAAAGCAATCAAAATCGGGCTCTCACATAAATAGAGTTCCCTCAGTTATTTCGAATATAAAAGAGCTGATGCATTATACGTGATACCCACATTTAATTTTCATTCGAAAGTATATATTAAAAAGAAAAAAGATACTTTCATCTTTAAATAGTGTTTAGATCAATCTGGCATCTTTTCGATAATTAGTGATGTGTGTAGAAATTTTCAAAAATCACGCTTTTTTCTTCTTTGAACATATACAGATGCTACACTAGAATATGAATTTTTAAGTTAATTAACTAGAGAGAGAGAGAGAGATAACAGTTTCTTTAAATATATACTTATTAAGGTCTACTTGTTTTGCTTATACTTCACATATGTAGAACCTCTCGTTAAGCACGTTGATATATTAGACACGAGTAATCCGCATATACAAACATGATTTTAATAGAAAAACGTAAATTATCTTTACTGTTCTGTCTTGTTTATATCCGTTCTTCTTGAATACATTAGACGCGAGTGCATAATAGGATTACGTAAAATCAGTGCAAGCGGCAAGCAGCGGTGCAACATTGTGTAACGTCAAACAGCATAAAACATCAGCAGTTTTAAACTACTTACATGCTTTCCACAACTGTGTTAGAAATATCTCGTTTCGCTTAATGTGTATGCTCGCGTTTGCTATTTTTCCTTTCGTCGCGCGACCGCAGTAAAAACTTTACTACAAAGCATTACGACAAATCCGCAGGATATAAATACCTGGAATCAATGGCGAGTCCATTAAAAGTAACGACGGTTGCGACTACGCAAATTGTAATTTATGTCACATAAAATAGAACAACGACATACGAAATGCAGTTTAAATTATGATACTAACAATATTTGAAATTTAGAAATATTGTTTTATTTTTTAATTTTTCATTTTATTTCTTGAATTGATCTCGATACAATTCTTTCTTTCGTGTATCTGAGTTAAAATATTTCCAAAACTATTGCATCGTGAAATCTAAAGAAAGTATATGTATTATGATAAACTGCAAGTGATAATTATAAATAAAACTAGATATAATTAATATGAACAATAAAATAAACATTACAGATTAATATACAATTGATTTTTGCGTGACCATCAAGAGTATGATAAAATAAGAACGGAACATAAGAAATATCTTTTATTCTAGGAATGCGTTCAAGGAAACTTTATTTATGTAGAAGCATAATTGCAAAGTCACGATAAGGGACTAGTATTGCATTTTGCGCGTAAAGCTAATGTATTTTGCGTTAAGTTACTCTGAGAACGTACTTTTCAACATTAATTAAATACGTAAATATGTATGGGCACCGTAAAAATCTAGAGTTAAAATTTTGTTACGAATTAGCTTCCGTAAATTGTTCTCCACAAAACGACGGTAATAATAAAAGCAATAAACATTACGTACTTTCACGTATAACGATTAAATTTTACGAGGCCGATGGTATTTTCTCACACACAATTGTGTCATGCAACTTAAGTATAACATTATTAGGCAAAAGGAAAAAAAAATATTCCGAATATAACTTCTGAAGCGATCTAGGTGATTACCCCAAGGCTATGTGCGTGCGAGATCCTTGGGCGAGCAGCAATCTTACCGGCCATTAGGTTGAAATTAGAAGGCTGTCAGTCAAGCACATACACGATGGTCTCTTGCTAGGATCTCATTATTTCTCACGTTCAAATTGGACCAGCACTTAGGATACCGTTTGTGTGGATTAGACGGTTGTTAATATGTAAAACTTTCCGCGGAACTATTGCAGTCTTTTACATGTAGCAATTTCGTATGCAACAAAGAATTCTACGAAAATCCTTTGCGTATGGAACCCTCCCTTCATTTAAGCTCGAATTAAATGACAACTTAGAATCTCGAATAAACTTTTCTGTAGATTAATATTTATCATGCTTCTTTAATATCAAGCCATTTTAGATTTTTCATATAAATTAAATCACAAAATTGTGATGTTTATTTTCATTAAAAAGAGAGAATATATGTATTGTATAAAGTTGTTACATTTTTGTAAAACCCTCGATTTATATTTTAAAATGTTAAGAATGAGAGCAAAATCCTTTCTATTAATAAATTCCTATTGATAAATAAGAATCGTAACATAGTTTAGGGTTTCACCAACTCTTTAGATTGTATAGTTGTCACGAGATTTCTCATGAGAATAGAAATAATTAATCTTCGCATATAAAGAAAATATCGCTTCTTTACATTAGAAAGAATAAATGGGGACAGAATTGCGAAATATTCGTTAACTGCAGGCGGCTTTTAGTTGTGTAGCCTATGTTCCCGATCTTTCACAGATGATACACAAGCATAATAGCGTTCANNGCATAATAGCGTTCAGCAGGTCTACTTTCATCTTGCACGGGAAAGCCTAATTGTAAATACTTAATTACTCTCCATCACCGAGAGAATCACCATTTTATGATCTCTAATTAATTAATTTTGCTCTGTCCAAAAAATTCATTCCAATTTATCTATTTATAATCTTTCAATAGAGACCATGTTTCATTTAACATTATTTTATCTTTTGCCAAAAGTAATTTAATCACGCTCTTTAAATAAGAATTTAAATATTTGTCAATTAAATTAAAATCGCGCAATAAAATTAATTAAAGGACAAAATTCGCATATCAATGTTGAAAAAAAACTATCGGTGATTATAGATTTGTAAAGCTAAGAATTTATTATCTAACAATAGAGATTTACGCGAACTGTATTTATTGCATATGGATTTGGCAAGATATCCATCGTGTTCGAATTGAAATATTCAGGACAGAATGGATTGCGTTTCGCGAGTCAAATAAAATTCCGCGATCGTTTTCATCGACCGTTATGTACACCCGTAACGTAAGTTTACATAATGGCATCACGCAATTATACGTGAATATTTTATTCCTTTCAGGAGAAGCCATTCACCTTGCCAGAGACTTCGGCTACGTTTGCGAAACCGAATTCCCCGCGAAACAAGTCGCCGAATATCTCAGTCGGCAGCATTGTGAACCGCAGGATTCCTATAGGAGAAAAGAACTTCTTCATGCCACCAAGTAAGAATAATATAACGTTATTGCATCTCTCTCATTGCGACATTACAATCACGGATGACTTTGATCAAGTTTTACGACGATAAATCATGCAATATCGATTTCTGAAACTTCACTCTTCGCTTTCAGACAAATCACCAAAGAGCTGATGGATCTTCTGAACCAGGACAGATCGCCACTTTGCAATACGCGGCCACAACATATCCTCGATCCCAGTATACAGAGACATCTCACCCATTTCTCTCTTATATCACATGGATTCGGAAGTCCTGCGATCGTGGCTGCTTTAACGGCTATACAGGTAATGAGATGAGAAGTTATTTTCTCCTATATACGATACCATCGCTTATTTCTTTCATCTTTTCATATTGTCATTTCAAAAATCTAAATGTAATAACAGAAAGTAAAATATCTTTTTTTTGGGGGGGGGGTGGGGAGGAAGAGAGGGAGTTTTTATTTTTAGCTACAAATGTAGCTAAAAATAAGTACTTTATTTTGTAGCTAAAAAAAAAGCGCTTTTGCGATTTTTGTTATAGAAGTTCCTAAGCGAGTCTTTGAATCATCTGGAGAAGATGTATCCCGGGAATGGTAGCGGCGTGACAAGCAGTCAACAATCGAATCTTGATACGAACAAGAGCAAGGATGGCACGCTGATGAACGACATGAAGAAGTGACGCACGGAAGACCCGCCTACCTCGAACGTGGTCACGTCTATCAGGCACTCTTGGCCGTACAATTGAGCTTCCGTGCGTTCACCATTCTTGCGGAAAGCTCGCAGTGGACCACCGCGTACTATAGGCGCTCGCGTTCGACATACCGCGCGGCCATCGTACGCCGAGGTTGGCTGGTCGGTAAGCTTCTGTAGGCAATTCGATATGCAGGCTACATATGTGCGAAATGTGCAATCAGGGATACCAGTAATAAGAGAAGATAAGAAAATTCTCATTCGTAACAGAGAAGATATAAAAAAAACAAAAAAAAATATATATATAACTCAAGTTGGAGAAAACCACTTCTCGTGTCGCTGGTCGCCTTTGATACAAGTCGTATTCATTTTATATCTTATGTCGAAAATGTTTAATAACATCATAAAGCTCTATCTTAACAAAATCTTTAACAGTTTCCTTCATCGGCTTATAATTGCGATTAAAATGTCATTATTGATACGATCTTATAGAAAGGCAGAAAAGAAGATATATCTGTGCTAAACATGTGCCACATGCTAAAACAAGAAGCATTAGATCTATACGTCGTCCAATGGATATTCTCTACAGAATATATTCTTAGGAAATTAACACATATATCTTAAAATGCATTTAACATATTTTATAATATTTGACGATTCTCAATCTTCTTCCTTAAGTGATAAGAATGTCGGAATTATATAATTTAGTTATATATTAATAAGTCAAGAAACGGCAAATATTACGGAAAAATAAATGCTTGAGAATATCAATTGGATATTCGTATTATTGGGAAATATATCAAGCTCGTAAACTTATATACTTTTGCGTCTAGAGAAATTTTCAAATAGAAAGATTTCGCCAAAAAATGCTTATGTTGTCATACATATATGATGATAAAATGTGACGATAATACGTGAATAATATTAATTTTTAAAGAAAACATTCCGGGATATCAAAATGATCAAAGGTGTACAGCTACGATTTTTGTAATCTATTCATATGACCCGCTCTCTCTTTATATCCCACCGATGATACATCTTAAATACGATAGATCAAATTAACGATTTGCGATTTGGTAATATGTAAATCGCATCCATGTTTTTCGCGCATCCGAACATTTAACCGACAAAAGTGCTCGAATTATCTGTGCTGAGAAAAGAAAGATTAATCAAAATTATTAAACGAATAACAAATGCCAAAATAATGACCGTTATTTTCTTTTTTGGCTGATTACTCTTATTGTATGTATTTATATATAATTTCTCTACTTTTACTAATTGTAAGTACCTACTAGAATAATGCAAATTGGTTTTTTAAATTTACTTTCCTATTAGCATTGTCCAATTAATCAAAAAGAATTTACTCAGCACAGAGAAACTGTAATATGTATGTCAAATAATGAGTGTGATAAAAAAATACAGATGTGTGATAAAAAATACACACTGTGACAGATATAAGGATATAATATTCCTTCGCATTGTAAATTCTATCAAAGAGCTTCACACAGAAAATTAATAGAAAATTAATTTACAAGAAGAATAAAATAATCGAATAAAGATAATTTTGTGAAGTATATATGATAGTCGAAAAATGCAAAAAATTGAGTGCAATTGTGTTAATAATAATTTTCTTACTATCCTTGCAATCCAATTATCTACAATGTAATTAGTAGGCAATCTGCAATAAAAATAAAAAAACAAAAATCGTGTCAAAATATGAAGAACATTCATTAATTTGCGAAGGTAAAAACGAGTCGAGATTTAATTCTTCGATTCTCTTTCAATGTGCATTCTGGATTATTTTGCGATTTACTTCTTTTCTCATTAGAGAAGCTGTGCTTCCATGTATGAGAGTTTTTTGGACCAGCAATACTTTATGTATGTATAAACGGAAGCGGTCGCGTGTATGAGTATCAAAGTGCAACTTAATCCTCAGTAATCCTGATGTTTCAATCTTTACTGAGATTAATCATAATGGGAACGTCGTGCGATCATCCATAGCAAGAATATTCTGCCTTTCATAGGTGCACACTCGCGTGATAGTCAGAAACGACGTTAAGTCCAAGGAACCGTCAAGAATGAAGTCCTTCTGACGGGAGTCTGTAAATGATTTATCGGAAAAGATGAACGATATGATTAAATTGCATATAATATATAAATTTCACTTTACAATCTTTTAATGCTATTTCTTGATCTAGAAGAGTTCATCATTAATCGACACATTTAGTCAATTAAAAATAAAGATTATCTACATTATTAAATTCTTCTCTAAGGGACTTTATTCAAGGTTGTTCCTACGGTCATTATCGTGCCAATGCGAAACTTGCCATTAAAAAGATGTGCCAATTATCGATATCGAGCTATTAATGTAAGCAACAGGCGGTTAACGAAAAAAAAAGATATAGAGAAAAAGCGATAGCATACACACACATACACCCAGCGCAACGAAACTAGTATTTCGTTGAACACGCACGTGACGCACACGCGTGACGAAACAGAGGTCTCGTCGAGAACGACGCGCACGTGCTCGTCGGCCGCATCTCGGACTCGCCAGTCACGAGAGATTGTATGAAGTACAATACCAGGTGAACCTGAGACATATCTAACTTTGTAATTAAATCTTAGGCGTATATAAATGTAAGATTAAAAATAAAACGGGAAGAAGACGAAGAAAAAGGAAAGAGGACGCCGGATCGGGCGTCTCGTGTCGCGTCGCGTATTATGTACAGAATATTTGAATCTTTCTTGTGATATAATCGTACATTATTAAGGTGTAAACCGATTAAAAAAAAAATACACTATACATTCCATGTTTTTTCATAGAAGTGAAAAATATTAGAAGTGATCGTGGACAGAGCTTGTGAGAGAAACCGGCTCGTTACTGTAGAATCGGATGTGACAGTCGCACACGACTAAGGCTCACACGTCTCATGGTGTTAGAGGCGGCTCTAGGATTAGCCAAAGTCTTAGCCAACATTCGTGAAATTTAATGTAACATTCTTATACACAGGGTCTCGCCCTGTCTTATATTCGCATGAGCTCGTGGATACGACTTGATCCTTGCAGATATGAAGATGTCTCGTATACGCGAGTCCCTCGAGTATCTACATACGACACTATGTAGTTTGCTGCATTATAATATAGAGAGTCGCCTCTGCACTACAAGCGTAAAACAGTTTTGTAAATGTTAAAACGCATTCCGACCAAAATCTTTAAGTCTGGCGTCTCCGATATTCTATACTTGTTGTATTACATAATTTTACGTTTATACGCACATATTTCGCAAATATAACTTGATAATATAGTATATAAATTCAGAAAATATCACCATAGCATAATCAGTAGTGTGATCTTTATTATGCGTGCTCTTTTATCTTAGCAATTCGACTGCATGACACTGTATGAACTGTGTCGAGAAGAAGATCGAAAAAAAATTATTAGCAAGTATAAATAAAGATCACTCTAATGGTTGGCCGATATACCGAGTCATCTCAATAAATGTTAGAAAAAATTTAACTAATTTGATATTGTGAAATTGTTATGAATAAAATGACGCATATACGTAATAAGTAACATAATAATTGTTTAATTATTATGCAGAGTGCAGCTAAAATTAGCATGTGTGCGTTTCAACAGATACAAGATGTGGATGCTCTAGCGCGATATGCTCGATTGCACTTTAAGTGAACGAAGCATTTTCCGGCTCGTGGTTCATATGCAAAGGATTAGTTAGGGAAAAGAAAACTCGGCACCTTATTTTCACTCACGACTACATACTTAGATGCGACTTATTAGAAGCTAAGGTCTCCCGTAAATTAATACTTATTTATAACCCTTATAGGACGGCCGTAGAAATACGTTTTTCTACCAGAATTTCTGTGCCAACTGCAAAGAATGTTGTAGATGATTTTTTTGTTTCAAGTTGAACCATTACTCTAATCTTGTAAGATACTCAGATATATCTTTATTAAATATATATTTGAATTTCGTAGTATATTATATTCTGATATTGATTATACAGTTCATTTTTGTATATTGGTGTGTGATAAATAAATAAGAATATTGTTTCTAAGCAATCCGCGTCGTGATAAAATAACCACCTGTCATATAAACGACACATAAGAGAATCACTATTGACTTTATATATATAGCCCCTATCTTTCTGATATTATAATATATAATTAATATTACATAGTTTTCTGATTAATAAAAGGATTAGCTAAAATAATGGAACATATACATGGGATAATGATATTTTAAAAAAAGTTATCCTTTCTAATTTTATTTATTTCTCACGTTTGTCGATATTATAGTACGCTATAAAGTAAAAAGTCACTAACATTCTTTGGAGATAATAATAGATTCATAAACATTTCTATCGCATTTCCAAAAAATTGATCTTATTTATATTTATGTTGTATTAATAGAAAAAATATATTAGTTACAATAATTTTAACTATTTTCATTTAAAAATATTAATAAAATAACAATTAGTGACTTTTTCCTCATTCCATCTCATCCTATATATGACAAATATACCTGCATACACATAAAATAGTATAATTATATATAGAAGTTATAATATACGTAAAATTATATATTCACTATTTTAATTCTACTTACGCTTGTGTTTTCCATGAAAAAATCTCCACGTATTTATTACTTAGCTGATGTTTTTGTGCAAATGCATATATACATTTACAAAAAAAAACTCGTATAAATATTTTTCTTATATTTTATAAAAATACTTATTAAAAACAAATGCATGTTGTTATGCTATTTTTTCAACAATTTAAATACAGTTTATCTTTAATTAAATTTATGTTCTATAATTTTATTATTCTCGAATTATTATTCTTGGATATTATTTATTATTCATTTTTATGCAATAAATATTAGGAAAAAATATATCGAGAAAAAAGGTCGTTAAATCAGATAAACTTTGCATTTGCTTTTAACATTTATAACAAATAATTGTCTGTGTACTCACGTCATATTTAAGTGTATTCACGGCACTTCAAAGTCCGTCACGATTGGAGAGAAAGACTAAAAACCTTTCGATCCACAAAGAAAGTGATTCCCACATAATCTTCATGATTTTTTATCCACCTATATGAAATATATCAATATCAATATTAGAATACAGTGAAATAGTTTTTATACGATATTTCTGAATTTTTATAATATTTCAAGTTTTCAGTAAAATATATGATTAGATAACTTTTATAATATGACAATTTTCTTATGTCGAATATTTCATATGTATTTTCTTATGTCGAATATTTCATATGTATTTTGTTCCGCATTCGTGCTATATTTATAAAAAAATTATTCAGAGAAAATTATCCAATGTAATTGATTTGTTATACATTTTAATTTAATCTGTATTCTCAATCCGCGAACTATTGTACATTTTGTCAATTTTCTCAACATATTATGTTAATAGATTAAAAGCACAATAAATATTCGTGAAACTATTTTGGTGATTGTTGTTTTACTTTAATATACACACATATATATATTTATCTTTTAACATATAATTCTCTGCAGTTTGTTTAATTATTCTTACATTACGATTATATTTAATCTAGTCGTGATCTATTAATTTATACACTGCTATAATAAAATATTCTGCTGTGGGATTAGTTTTCATACGCAGTATATGATAAAAAATTTTGCAATATTTGGTTGAAGCTATATATATAAAGATATTTTTATCCAAAATAATTATAATCTTAGCATTTTCATTGGTGGGGAAGTTCATTTCGGCGTTTTTAAAAACAAGGTATGTCTCATGTTATCTCATTTTTATTTCAATTAGGAGTTACATGTTACATGTTATTATTTTAATGACAAATTTTAGAATTACATTCAATATATTTTTGGATATATGTTTATATATTTAGAGTTATACTGAGATTATATATATGACATTGTGGTTTGTCGTAATCTTGCATTGTTCTACACAAAAAATAATATAGGATATTACATAACTTTTTTGTATAAATCTACCATATGTTTTTTTTTTTTCTTTATAGATGCTATAATATTAAGCAAGTAATATAGGGTTATAACGTGATAGTAGCAGGCTTATACAATTTATTATTATTTTGTAGTTTTTAGTTTGCGTTGTACATCATTTAAATCGTTTAATTTGTTCCATTTACATCGCACACACAATACTATTTTATTATAATATTTTGTCAAATAAAAATATTCAAGCTACAGTTTATTTAGATAAAAAAAAATTAATCTTAATATATAAACTTACATTAATTTGATTGGAGATTAGCAGATTATTAAATATTAATATTTTCATTTTTATTATCGAAATTTTAAATTGAATTTGAAGATATTAAGTACAAAGGATAAATAGAAAAGATGATTCCAAAATATGGTTAGAATTATTAAGATTATGATTTATGTGTTGACACTTAATTTATATAATATTGAATATATGAATTTCATAATTCATAATTTCATTTGTATGTTAATATTAAGCGCTTCAATGTTTTACTTATTTCATCCCATCAATCCTCTTGATCCTTTACTCCTTGTCAATAGTTAAATTCCTCTGTGGTCCAAAATTTTAGGAAAAGGATTAAAGGAGCGGAGTTAATATTTTGCAGACAATGACAGGTATATTGAATTAATATTATGGTATAGAATGATTAAGGGGAATTGTCACCGAAATAAATTTTTATGTATATGGTCGACCGCATTAATAGTATTACGTTTACTTATATTTTAATTATATGTTTAGTTTCTATTTATATGTTCTTGTTTATCCAGCGGCCGCGAAAACTGAGAGATCTGAAAATTATCGAATTTATCATAAAAAAATAGTAAAAATAAAATTAATATGCAGTGTTTAAATAAAAGAGAGAAGTACGGATAGAGAGAGAGTATACTTAGTTGTTACAAGAAATTGAACGAGAAATAAATCTCCTGATCATTATATGACATTTTTTTGATGTTATCTTATTCATTCTAATATCGTCAAAATGAAACAATAACGTTTGCACATCATTACCGTCTTAGCTTCCGTCTCTCTGAGCGGTTAAGGACGATTTCTTTCATTTATCGGTTTCTGCATCATAGGCCGCCGTGCAGCATTAGGAAGATTAGCCGCCAATGGATTCGCAATAACGCTATGAAATAATAATGTCAGAAAAAAAACATTTAGAGGAATACGGACGATTAAGATAAAAAAATTTAATGGATGATTTTTTATAGGTGTTTACTTGGAAGGTCGTGTATACGGGGTGGTGCGGTAGCGCGAGGGTGTGCCTGATGTTGTTGTAGTCTTGTACGATTTCCAAGCGCGGCTCGACGATTCCTCTGCGAATTTCATGGATTGATATGTTTTAATTATTTTTATTTAGGTAAAACACGATAATGATCGTTAATGGTCTACATGCTAGCATCTAAGCATGGCTCATCATTTTAAGGTTTTTAGTATGAGTTTGAAAGTTTAATCATCAATGTAAATCATGCATTTTGTTATACGATCTATGACAGGGTTTATAAATTACATTGTCATAGCAAACTTAGATTATGGCTTCAATTGGAATTGCATGATTCAAATATTATACATTTAAAAAACACAGTTATTTAATATTATCTGTTTTTATTATCTATACATAATATAATTTCATCTTGTACGCGCGTGAGTTACATGAATTTAATAAAAAAGCGAAATTTATGTTAAGTTACATTAAAATTAATTTTTGTGTAAGAATTAAATTTAATTTTTAAAATAAATTATATTATAAAAAAATTTCTATTAGATATTATTAATCGTTGCAATAAACGTATTATTTTATGTTTTATTTTATCCATTTTATATACTAATGTATTATTAAGGGCTCAAAATAAATTGTCCATTTCTTCAATATGTAGAAATTAAATAATTTTAGTATTCAATGCATTTCCATAGAAGCTACTACTAATACTTTTACTTTAAGTATGTCGACATTATGCATTTTAATATCTTTGCAATAACTGCAATAATCACATTTTATAGCAATAATTATAATTATTCTCTGAAATTTTTTGATAAAAAAGATTGAATAAAAATATTTAATCGTGAATTTATTTTGAAATGTTTGAAAAAGATATGAAAATTTTACCGAACCATACATTTAAATTATACTATATATATTTATATATCATTATAAAAATTTATAGTAAAATTAAAATGTTACGATAAACCCCGCATAAGTACAATAAAGGATTTACATGTAATTAACAAACACTCATTTAAAAATGTATTATTATTAAAATAAAATCTTCAAAAAATTTTGTAATTGCATAAAAAATCTCAATTTTTTAACATTATAATCAAACAAATATATAAAAAGGAATATTTTACCTGGATAATCTGAAGATTCGTAATAATCATGTGAAGAATGCGGTGCAGAGTCATCCTCATATTCGTAAGTTGTATATCTTGAAGAAGAATATGTTATCTCTATTAGCATGTAGCGAACTAGATAATATAAAGAAAATACATGCAATATAAAAAAAGGGTTTATCTATATATATATATAAACCACACTTTTTTTTTTATAAAGCTACATTATGCGATCAAATTTCTCTACTTGTTATATATGTATATTACAATGTCAATGCAAAAAGCGTTATAATAATACATACCCAGAACTCGGTGTATAATGTCGATCGCCATATCGAGCACTACTAGTTGACGATCCATGATAATCATAATCATGATGTGATCCAGCACGATTTGTTGGTGGAGGGGTTGGATTATCATAGCTATAAAAACAGAAAGATTTAAATATATTTAATAGTATTTGATTTATATCAAGATGAAGATTATGTTACTTGAACAATTAAACTCACCCAAAATTTTGGTCCATAGCAGCTCTCGCACGATCCAAGATTGAGAACACTTTCGATTTTGGCGGTGCGGGTCGAGAAAGTGGGCCACGATTTGTAGGTGGCGGAGGAAGTATAGCTGAATAATATACATATATACATATTGAATATTTATATACCTGATTCTTTCATATTATTGTATATTGCAAATTGTATATCTTTTGTATATTATGACAAGTATATTTGTTAAAGAATATTCTCTATATAAGTCATTCTATGCAATATAAACTTATATTGATGATACCAAAGAAATGAATATCACAATATTGCTAATTTCCTATATAATTTTCATAATAGGTATGAGATTAACCTCTAGATGTTCTAGGTAAAGTTGGTCTTGCAGCAGGTCTTAGTATACCACCAGTGCCAGGACCACTAGAAGGCCCTCTCATCGAGGATCTTCGATCATCCGAAACCGGATCATTAGATACGGTCATTTCCATTTCACGCATTTGTTCTTGACGTATATTATCATTGTTGTCAGGGATCAAATATTTTCGCACCTCGGCGAGCGCAAATGCAATGCGTGCATAAGCTTCAGCTGGTGGTGCAATAGCTGTGATCTCTACATGTAGATCATCGGAAAGATGTGCATATTTCGGATCTAAAGAAGCACGACATTCATCTTCCTGAAATTAAGAACAAAAAATCAAGACACTACATAAATCATTTTCTTTGAGTAAAAAAAAAAGAGACGACTCGCTTGTCACTTACTTTTTGTCTATCTTTCATAGATCCTCTACCTAACACTGCCATTTTGCACATTGTTTCTTCTTGAAGGCGTTTCATTGAATTACCTTTCGGACCCAGCAATTTCCCAACAAAATTAAACTAAAGCAAGATAAATTACATAATTGAGATTTAAGATAACAGCTACATTTGTATATAACTGTTAAAAAAATTGCTATATTAAATAAATGTAACATACTTACCTTAGGATGCTCACGAATAGGTACTAAAACTTTTACAGAAATGCGAACTGGTTTTTCACGATAAATATCCACATATTTTGGATCCCTTAATGGTTTTCCAATAGCTTGCGTTTTTTGGATTTCTATAAAATACGCAATTCTTTTTGGTGCGGTGAAGTATTCACAGCTTATCGCACATTAAAACTTAAGAAAAATATTTATCTTCTCGTTATTCATCAAATTATCATTTTTAATCTTAAATAAATCAACAAAAATTTAAAGTATATCGATATGTAGGAGTACACTACCTACTCTTCCAAAAATATATTTTTTCATTAAAAGACAAAAAAATTTTGTTAAAAAATAGGTTATTATAGTTATATTTCTCTTTATTCCTCCTATATATATTAGTGATACATAGAATCCTATATTAAAAGTTAAACTAGAAGATATCAATAATTATAGAAATATTTAAAAGCGAAAAAGCCGAATTATTGTTATAATCCAAACTATCTTGCAGTAAAAAATCCAAGCATTGATTATAAATATATATATATGAATTCAATCAAATATCATTGCGAATAAAAGTTTTGCCCCATTGATACCGAGTATCAATGGGGCAAAACGATAATTCGTTGTAACTTGATGGGACTTTCCATCGGACGGGCTAATTTCACATGAATTTCATGAAGCATGATGAAAGAATGAAATGTGTTTACTTACCTTGATCGAGCAATCGAATGGCATTGGGCGATTTTTGATTGTCGAGCTCGATCTTCTCCTGGAGAAGCTCGCGTACGTACTCGCCCGCCTTGTCAATTTGATGATCCTTCTCGTCGGACTCTTTGTCTAGCATTCTAGGTTTAATGTCGTCATCGTCGACATCTCTCTGATACTTGTACTCGCCGTTGCTCGATCTATCCATATCCATATTCGACATAATTCAGATCGTCGATCGATTAACTTTGACGGCTAACTCAACCGCCTTCACCGATGATAGATGAAAAAATCGTACGTTTGTGCAAAACGACGCGTCCCGAAAACGAATCCGTAATGGCTGCCTTTTCGCCGCATGAATGGTCATGAATCCCGTTTTCATCGGACGCTCACCGAACGTCGTTTAGTGCTGCCATCTATATTCATTTAGAAAGTTATGTAAATTCAACAATTTCTACCTTACCGACACTGCCGGTAAAATCATTTTTTGGTGCGTATCAATTACTACATCCATAAATTGTGGATTAGTGTATTATTTTTTAATTTGCATTTGCATTTGATATAACAGTTTTTTTTCGTTCTAAAAAAATGTTTTTATTTTAATATAAGATTGGAATTATAAATACATAATTTCAAAAAAGCATAAATTATATATTTTTTCATACAGCCCGTACAATTTATCATTAGATCAGCGATGGAAAATATAATGAGAATAAATATTTTTCGAGACAATAGTTTATTTTATAACTCGCGCATTTCAAATACTGAAATATATACTAATAGCCTCGATTGTCAAATAGCTATTGTATGATATGTAGCGTGTTAAATGTCACTTGCGATTATCAAGTTATAAACTGAACTTCAAGCTAAATAAATCAACTTCGAAGATGTCACATGGGTAAATGTAAACATTAGTGACGTCAGCGTGTGTTATCACTTTTCCTTCTTATCTTCTCCCTTCCTCCTCCTATTTCGAGATTATTTTCCCTTTCCGGTTCTATCATTATTTCGAAGTGTATTGTATGCATGTCGAAAGAAGCAGTTCCCGTTCGGTCAAAGAGCGCGTGCACGCGTACGCGCTCGACTTCGTGGCTGTTTACAAAATTTACACGTGATGCTTTATGGCAAGATATCGCATTATATGCAAATAAAGATAAGACCCGCGACCCCGTGTACGCAAGCAAAATAGAGCTCCGAGCGAGAAATGATGTCCAATAAGTTGAGTGCGCGGCTGCGGAATGCTGGAAAAAAACTACTTTTGAGCCTAAATTCCGCCGAACGCAAGCATGTCAGGTCGGCGCACTTTACGTATTTCCCGTGCAAGAGGCCGAATATCACCGGTAAGTGTAATTATTTTTTGCACGTATTATATTAACTATCGTGGCTCATCATTCAGTCTTACGAAAACGATGACGCGCAAAATCGGCATACTAACATTATATAAGCGATTAATGAGATCAATGAAAGATTCGATAAAAGATGCTTTGCGAATTTATAATTTATTAATCATTTAATTAATTGAAAAATTTATATATGGTTATATAAGTTCGTGTGTGTGTATGTATGGGATGTCTTTAACATGTAGAGGTATAAACTGGTATAATTAAGGAGAATATTTAATTATAGAGAAACAAATTGTTTATTTATGTTAGTGGTAAATGGTTTTTTAATTGTCACAAATAAAAATAGATTTTATCTTTATCTAGCATTGAAATCTAGACTGATAGAAATCATAGAATATTTACCTATTTTGCTCCACAAGTTTAAAACAGCATATTTTGACTCCTTTCAAAATTTTCGAGTATTCGAATATTCGAATATTCGGATATTTTAAAATTCGAATCTTTGTTAATCTTTATACTTTGATAACCGTCTCTCTTTCACGCGTGAAGAACGCAAAAATGCGTACAGTATGTATGTCAAGAATGAATCGAGAATTAACGAATGTAATGTGACGATAAATTATCGAGTTTTTTTTTGGGGAGTTATATCTGTGTGAAAACACATCTTATATGATGTAATAAGATTCAATATAAATAATTTTGAATGTTTGTTATTTGGAAAGAGGAGAATATCATTTATTACTATTGAGTCGCAATAGAATGTTCTAGAATTTGCTCGTTTCCTAGTACGGAATCACTTAATACAATACTTAAAAATACATTAGTCACACGTGATTATGTAAAAGAGGTATGCTTTCAGGTGAGACTCAAAAGCTGAATATGTATCAAGCTATAAATCACGCTCTTACTCTTGCATTGGAAAACGATTCACGTTCAGGTAAATATCTTGTTCAAAGTCTTTAAATAGAATATATAATTTATATTGGATGATTGCATAAGTTCGTGCCCGATTTTCATAGATGGCATTAAGTTACTGCATGGCGGAGTATATTATAAAAAATAATGATAAAAATTTTATTTAAAACAAATTTAAAATCTCTAAAAAGGAAATATTTTTACATAATTTACAGAACAAATACTTTATTAATTTTTTTTGAATTTTTAGTGATATTTGGTGAAGATGTAGCATTCGGAGGTGTCTTTCGTTGCACGATGGATTTGAAGAAACATTTCGGCGCTAATCGTGTCTTTAATACGCCTCTCTGTGAGCAAGGAATTGTGGGTTTTGGAATTGGCTTAGCCAATACCGGAATAACGGCAATTGCCGAAATACAATTTGCGGATTACATATTCCCTGCCTTCGATCAGGTACTTCACCATTCATATAATACGTAAATATAATAAATAGATTGGTAATTATAATCTTAGAAAAATATCTTTTTGATATACGGAGCATGAAAAGGATGCAAAGGTTTAAAAAGATTCAATATTCAAGGAATTAAAATTTCTTTTTAACATAGAAATATTATTATTTGGATCGTTCATGTCAAAACCGGAATTTAATTTTTAAATAAGTAAAGAGACAAAATTATTATAATTTTGTCTCTTTATCTAAAAATTAAATTACGGTTTTGACGTGAACGACTCAAGTATATATCTGAAAAGCTTTGCTACAAACAAGCAATTCATATAAATTAATGGAGAATATATATATAAATCGCCACGCAAGCATAATCACACATAGAATATAAAGATTAATAATCTCTAATTAAAATTATTAATGGAACTATATATTAATTATGTCTGCAGTTGGTAAACGAAGCGGCTAAAATGAGATACCGAAGCGGTAGTATGTTTGACTGTGGTAAACTTACGGTTCGTGCACCTTGCGGAGCAGTTGGTCATGGTGGCCTTTATCATTCTCAAAGTCCGGAAGCTTATTTCGCACATACTCCCGGCTTGAAGGTCAGTAATAAATGTGCGCTACTATTTTTTATTTATCGAGTATAATATACAAAATCGCTCTCTTAAATTTATCTCTCTCTCTTTCTTCTGTCTTTTTTGATCGTGCACAGTGCCTTTATTCTTGAGAATAGTCGATGAAAAAATAAGTTCTTTATTGAGATAAACAATTTCATAATAAAGTCATAAATGATCGCGCGTCAATATTCGTTTACGAAATATTTGAGTTATCACATATGCATTATATTATTGCAGTGTTAAGTAACAAGATTATATTACTATGAATTTGACATAATTACTTTCATATAATAATTATTTTCGAAATAATTTAAATACGTGTGCAATATGATTCGTGTATAAAAAAAATTCGGATATAAGTGAAAAAAATAAATAGTCATTAACATTTAATATACCTTGATATACCTCGCGCGAGTCAAGCAAACAAGTTTCGCTATCAAATTTTCATCACCGAGAACATTCTTCGTACCTTCACTATATTACGCACCAGCCATAGCCATGAGTTCTCAACTTTCTTCGACAAATTCCATGAATATTGTACGACGTATACACTGTACGTATGCATGAAGAAAGTTTTGCTCGCACACTAATGCGCAATCGCTATCATACATCGCGATTACGAGAGAATATTACGTGTCGCGTAATATTGTACTCTCATTTCCTAAAGCCGATAAATTTCACGTTTGTTTTGTGAAACCGTCGAAAGGAATCGCCAATTATTGACGAAGAGACGATGAATGGGAGAAAATCGTGAAAGACAGCTTCTTGAGAACAGCTGATTTTTTTAGATTGTCGTGCCTCGTGGAGCAATGCATGCGAAAGGATTACTATTGAGCTGCATAGATGAACCAGATCCTTGCATTATATTTGAACCTAAAATTCTATATCGCATAGCGGTGGACGAAGTACCCGTAGCACATTACAAGATCGAAATTGGCAAGGCTGAAATTGTAAGAAAAGGTAAAAAAAAATTATATTGATAGAATATATATTTATATTTATAATACTAGATATTTGTATTTGATTGTTAACGTACTTGGTATTATTCGAATTTATTAAGCGCTGCGCTACACTTGTATATCGATCACCTTGTATATCATCTACATTGTTGATTATGTATTTCAAATGCATAATATAGCATAAATTTTATACTTTAATTTATACAATTTTATGAATAAGAAAGAAGAGTCTCTCTCTTGGCATTCGAAACAAATGATATCTTATATTAATATTTTCAGTAATTTCCTGATCTTAATATTTTTATCAATTTAATTTTAATAATACTGATTCGAGAGCGATATTTCTGCTTTTGAGCTATTGTTTAATGCAATAAATTTATAATTTTTATTATTGTCGCATGAAGAGTGCGAATAAAATCACTTTCTATATTTACATGACTTTAAATATCTCTTATGCGTTATAAAAAAACGATCGCATCTCGAACGAGAGATAAAAACGCGAAAATGGTAATTACGTAATAACAATAAATACTTGCGGTTGTAAAATAATTTTCTGCAATATGTTTAAATATAAGACACAAAAGTTCTCTTTCTTTCTTTATTTTACATTTATGGCAGAAAGTATATTGTCCAATAAAAATAATACATAAGAGACATTATTTAAAGTCATATATAGAAAGTGACTGTGTTCGTACTCTCCATACATGTGGCTTGGAGTCTCTCTGTGAACATAATTTACCGAGTATAATCGTCCTTCCATTATTCAATCGCCGGAGCGAAGCGGCGCTCCCGCTGATGACCGATCCTGAAACAGGATATAACAGAAGGAACGCGTATACACGCACTTGTCGATGTTATGCGAGTCTATATACAGGTGTTTGTCTACATAAGTGTGTTTCGTTGTTGCGTAGGTGACGCCGTGACACTCGTAGGCTGGGGCACTCAAGTGCACGTGCTGTTGGAAGTGGCTGATCTAGTCCAGGAGAAGCTCGACGTATCCTGCGAGGTGATAGACCTCATTTCCATTCTACCTTGGGATGCGGAACTCGTATGCAAGGTAGATATAATTCAATCTCTCTCTCTCTCTCTCTACCTCTCTTTCTTCACCTTAATACAATCGTTTCCTTGAGAATAAGAAATCGGTTCAAGAAAATAATCGTTTCAAACACCGCGTATCCTTCTTTGCTTTTTTTGCTCTCGTTGCTTTGATAACGTACACGGGACGCGGAATCGCGGTTTATCTCTTATTTCAAGAATTTCAAGGGCTGAAAAAAAACGATCGCATCTCGAACGAGAGATAAAAACGCGAAAATGGTAATTACGTAATAACAATAAATACTTGCGGTTGTAAAATAATTTTCTGCAATATGTTTAAATATAAGACACAAAAGTTCTCTTTCTTTCTTTATTTTACATTTATGGCAGAAAGTATATTGTCCAATAAAAATAATACATAAGAGACATTATTTAAAGTCATATATAGAAAGTGACTGTGTTCGTACTCTCCATACATGTGGCTTGGAGTCTCTCTGTGAACATAATTTACCGAGTATAATCGTCCTTCCATTATTCAATCGCCGGAGCGAAGCGGCGCTCTCGCTGATGACCGATCCTGAAACAGGATATAACAGAAGGAACGCGTATACACGCACTTGTCGATGTTATGCGAGTCTATATACAGGTGTTTGTCTACATAAGTGTGTTTCGTTGTTGCGTAGGTGACGCCGTGACACTCGTAGGCTGGGGCACTCAAGTGCACGTGCTGTTGGAAGTGGCTGATCTAGTCCAGGAGAAGCTCGACGTATCCTGCGAGGTGATAGACCTCATTTCCATTCTACCTTGGGATGCGGAACTCGTATGCAAGGTAGATATAATTCAATCTCTCTCTCTCTCTCTACCTCTCTTTCTTCACCTTAATACAATCGTTTCCTTGAGAATAAGAAATCGGTTCAAGAAAATAATCGTTTCAAACACCGCGTATCCTTCTTTGCTTTTTTTGCTCTCGTTGCTTTGATAACGTACACGGGACGCGGAATCGCGGTTTATCTCTTATTTCAAGAATTTCAAGGGCTGAATAATTGTACGCGATCTCTTTCCTTCGTCATTCTCTCGAGTTAATTCGAGGTTTCGCTTATCAATGACAAACCATGCATACCATGATCGTGCCATGACGTCGAAACGCACGAATTTCGATGTAGAAAATCGCCAAATATACCTACGTAAAATACACAAACACAATTGAGGTATCTTTCGTACCATTTGTATGCGTATCCCGTTGGCGAAATGTCGGCGGACAGGGACAGAATAATCAAAAGATTGGCGCGAGGATTCGATATTATTCCATCGATCTACGCGACGTTTCGTCGACGATAGAAGCGGTTATCGTTACCTCGTCTAAGAGTGAATTAAGAAGTGATCGTGAGCGAAATCCTCCGGCCTGGACTCTTACGTGTCCCTTCGGGTTACGGATCTCCATAGACGCTAATATCGCGCTGATTTATGCTAATCGATCTCTCTGGTCGCCTAATGATATGCCAATCGTACAGTATGCACTTCTCTTGCAGCTTACAAACCGCCGTGATATTATATACGACGCGAGAGTGGTGCGCGCATAACAAGACGTAGTACGAGCGTAATTGGAAACCCGTTTTGCCGCAATTTCGATACAATCGCGGAGATTCGCTGTGTTATGTACCCGCCGATGCCTGTCTGCGAAACATTGCGCGGTTTCGTAACGAGAGACGACTCTGCTCGCGAAACGAAATTCTAATATATACGTCGCTTTGGAGAGAAATGGCTGTTGCGCGATGAAAAATCGTGGCCGGAAAAAAAAAACATCGATTTCATTATTAAAATGGAACAGAGTGACTGATAAATACAGAAAAACGTAGACAATATTGAGAATCGTAGATTATTCATTTATGCATTATTTTTTAATTAAAACTTCTTAAAGGAAAATTAATATCTACGATATATATATCTTATTATAAGATTTGACAGTTCTTACAAAATTTAGCAAGCTTTATATATTATTGCATAATATTACATTAAAAATCTATCTCTCTTTTTAAATATTTTACAGTGTTCAATATGTATTTAAGAAAATATTTATAAAAAGAATTAATAACTTTCTTTTTTTAGGTACTGTTTTGAAAGCAATCGAATATTATAAAAAAAAAATAAAAGATTCATAATTTAGATTCCTACGTTGTGACAGTAAGTTGTCTATTAATAAAGAGATTAAAATTGTCACGTGAAAATGTAGAATCTCATAAATATTAATCCGATAAATGTAGAAACGTAGATTTTCTATGGGATATTTTCGTAATGAAAAATTGCAACTTCTGAAAGTGCAGGGAATGTCAACGCAAATTGAAAATGTCATACGAACCTGTATTCGACATTCAGTCACGTTTAACTATCTAGTTATCTTTGTTAATGATTTACAACGGAACACACACGTACACACAAGTGTGACTACCTATCTTGATCGCCAACCATTCTATCGCCAGCGTGTATTTCCATCGTCGATCATGTTGTAGGTCTGTATTTGATAGCCGTTACAAAATGATGGCTTGTGCCGTCGTCGCGGCGTTAATGTGCCCGTTTAGCATCGCGGTCGTATCTATAAGTTATTATTATACCGCAACAATATGGGACGAGACGTAAATCACGCGCGAATTAAACCCAGCGGCCGACCGATAATAAATTGCTATGCGTAATATGTGCATAAATGTTGCAGTCGGCGAGGAAAACCGGGCGCGTGATTATCGCCCACGAAGCGCCGATGACGAACGGATTTGGAGCAGAAATAGCTGCGACTGTACAGGTAAGGTATCTACTTTTTCATAAGCCAAATTTACGATGATAATAAAATCTATTGCGTAAACAATGTGACATAAAATGATTTAAGGATACCTAATAACGTAATAATTGGATTTGTATGTAAAAATATATTGCATGATCCTAATAAACGAATTAACGCTAAGTCGGAGGTCTTTGATAGCCCGAGATATAATGCCACGTGAATTGGTAATATTACCCATAGAAGGGTGTAAACCGGTTTTTAAAGTGACTAAAGTTAATTGATTATTTTTCTTAAATTTATATATATTTTTTTAAATTTATTAATATTAATAATATTAATTGATTAATTGATTAATATTTGCTCTTTTGATATTAGAAAGTCGGTTTTGCATCAATAAAAATGTTAAATTAATCACACATATAGATTATATTAAATCTCTCTAATGATTGTTAAAATCAGGCGGAGTGCTTCTTGTATTTGGAGGCGCCGGTTCAAAGGGTCACAGGATGGGACTGTCCCTTCCCATATATCTTTGAGCCGTTTTACTTACCGGACAAGTGGCGTTGCTTTGCAGCTGTCCGAGATATCTTGAAGTACTAAAGAACTACGGTTGTTGCAGTACGCTGCTGTGTGTGGAAAAGGATTACAACCTATTGTCCGCAAAGTGTTCATTGGAAAACATATTTTATATTATTAATTTTTTATAATTTACTATTCTTCATTTATCTACTATCTTACTATCTCATAATTTTTTTTTATACACATTGTTTTTATGTAAAATATATTTTATAATTTCGATGTATATTATATATATATATAAACATCTTATCTATTTATTTATTTTTTTTCCTAGTTTTTTAGCAGATTTTTTAAAGCCCACTTATAAGTTTATCAAAGAACTTTATGTATATTATATTTATATTATATATATATATATATATATATATATATTTATATATTTTTTTTATAAATAAAATTTACTTGTTTTTGCCCCGAAAGAATACATAAGAAATACAAAAAATAGAGAATGAGCATTATTTGTGTGAAATCTATGAAATTTGCATGTATTTTATACACGTATTTATCTTACTGCTTATAAATGAATAGATTACCATATATACAGGGTGTTCGAATATTCAACCGACAAACTTTCAGAGATTGTCGGGAGCATCCTAAGGATCATTTTTTGCGATTGGACTTAGGATGATATACACACACAAATATGTAATTCATGTATTTGCTCGTATTTATAAACTATCAATAAGCATAAATTATTTATTGTTGCTAAAAAATTAGCATATTATTGATTATCTGAAATAATTAAATCTAACATAATATATTCTTCATTTTTTTTTTTACTAACAGATAAACAAAAAAATGTGAATCTATATGACTTGTGTCTAACATATATTGAGCGTATGCAAAACCATGTCCCTGACCCAGTTTACCACAACCCACATAAATCCATCCCTTCTGTCTAAATTAATAACATGAAAGATGATACAAATCGTCGCCGGCGGCAATGACGCGCCAGTCAACGAAGACGTCAGATAGATATTCGCAATCAGGATGGATCGTCTAGGTATCTATGTATCTTTTTTTTTTTTTCATCGATAATCTGGGTCAAGTCCTTCTTTAATAATAAAACTGCGCACCGATTGTGCGCACCACGGCAATGTAATATCTCAATCAAGGTTTCAGTCTCAGACGCAGTCCTTTCCAGTCTAAACCTTTAAGATCGCCATGTTCCGCCTGTCAACGGGATGTAAGTTTTCAGTCAAGCTCGAAGACATGAAAACGATATTCGAAAGGAGATTGAATTTAAAGAATAAAAATTTTAAATTGATAAAAACCCGGAGATATGATTTATTTTTTCTTATTAAGGAAATTAAAATATTTGAACGGGATTATTTATGATTAATGTCTACATCTAAAAAGATTTAACTACCGTTAATATTAAATATAAATTCACTGGCTACGTTCTCTCGAGCAGGTAACCGACAAATTTTTAAATTACGTAAAAGACGAAATTAAAGAAAAGGAAGTGTGCTGAACTGTTCACTCGTGGCATATTTTGTAATTTGAAAGGGAAACCACATTCTTTCACTGTATATTATGATACGTGAAAGTTGGCAGCGCTATATACATGGAGCGCAATGAGAGAAAGAGAGAGATAAGAAAATAGTTAAGAGAGAGAGAGAGAGAGTGAGAGAGAAAGAGCGAGAGATCACTCAACAGTGAAAAAGAGATGGAGAACCAGTCGCCACGAAGCACTATATCGAAGGTCGACGAGTTACCTTTTTATTAGTCGATTTTTGCGAGAATAGAGCAACGACTTTTACATGCTAACATATGGCGCCGATGCGCTCGTAGATATCGAAAGTCGCGAGATTTTCACTCTTCTCGATTCGATAATGATTATGAGAAAGAGCCGATCACTCCTTCAGAAATATAAGTTATTAAAGTTCTTTTATTTTTGATAGCAATTCTACATTGAAATGACATAAACAATAATCTTTGTTCAGAGAAATATTAAATAAATAACGATTGACTTTTTAACTCTTTCAAATGTTGATTGTCTTTTTTTTTTTGTTAGTCTTACGTCAAAAATTGAAACGTTAAGTGTCGCAATCTTTGCTATACTTTCTTAGACAGATTATTTTGATAATTTATGTGTTAATTAATTTCTTGTGTTACATAATAATCAGAATTTTTCGTTCTAAAAAAATTAATATTATACAACGGCTTATCGTTGGCTTACCTATTTATTTCAATGTATCGACAGGTAACGCATGCGAAATCAAAATATTTTCATGCTACGAGATTACCTGTTATTTATTAAGTATCCAAAAAATCACATATATTCTGTTATGTAATTCCTATTTATAGTATATCATAGCTGACCAGTTTGTTTTCATTCCCCGATCTTTTTTTACAATCGATTGATCGGATATCGCATTCTTCTTCTACATATCAATGTCATACACAAGTGTCAGAGAAAGGATTCTTCGGACCAAATTAAACATCGATTTGTTATCTTGATTTATGGCACGCAACACAGTGCGATATCTCTACAGCAAGAGCACAAAGTAGCCAATGATGAAAGTTTTCATTGGTCCGATCAGACGCAATATATTTGCTGGTGCTTTCGAAATTAGCAGCTGCGTTTTTATCTTATCTAAAATAACGTTGTTTGCCAACGCGGAGGTTAAATGTGAATAAAATTATGTTAATATTTTAAAAACACTGCACGCAAAAAGAAGATATTTTATGCAATCTTGTGGCAAATAATTTTGTAGCTATTTTTAGCTCAAAATAGTTATTTATGACGTTAATTGCTAATGTATACGAGATATATGAATAGAATTTTAAATAAAACATGTACATTAATAGCCGACAGCAAATAAACGATTACTTATTTGATGCATAAAATATACAAAAATGTAAAAATATAAAAAAGCGAAAGAGAAGAAGAGAGATCTTGCGTAATTTATTAAAGAAAATCTACTTTAATAACTATTCTATCTGTTTTGTACTTGAACGCGATGCTCTCATAACAGAACGTTTACAAGTAATCTACAATATTCATGTTAAGCCTAAAAACGTAAAGCGAAACACTGATGCTATTCGCGGAATTAAAATAATTTGGTGCATTGCGTGCATCTCGTACAGGTCGCACAAATCTGTTTCGCGCGCATTTGCCGTTCTCAAAGTACATCGCAGTTTCTAGTATAATTCCCCGAGGGCTTCTTCCTTATGAGCGCGCACACGCAATGCAACTAAGCTGCAACCGCAATTAACGCGCCGCTCTACCGATGCGTGAGTACAGGTAGCCTAAGTATTGAGTACATCGCATTTATCATGTCCAAAGTAACGCAACTGATCTTAAAATAATACAACCGAAACAATCATTTTTTTTTATATAAAATTATTCTATATAATTGAATGAGATGAGATTGCATCAGCACGATTGAAATAATAAAACAAGAACAGATTTTATCTGACATATTTAATGCCTAACAGAAATATCTATTGAAATTGCATTGAAATGATTGAATTCTTTATGCGGTTTATTTAAATATCTCAAATATATATATATATATACTAATTGTAAGCAATCGCGTATATATTTTGCGATTATGGCGCGAAATTATTTCCATGGAGTGTAAATTTATTTATTCTAAATTAATAAGTATAAGATATATATCTATGTATCTACATAATAATATTTTTTAAATATCAAAAAATAGTAATGTGACGCCGATATACTATATGGCACGTGTGTCTTACATGCGTTTCTTTCAAAAGTCCTAACGATTAGATATGCGCATAAGAAACGCAAATGATAATATATATCGACAAATAAGTTTTATGATAAATTAATCGCTGATATATATATTTACAGTAATACACATATGTATACATAATCGTTTTGACCGCGGCTTGTGTGCCGCAAAAAATGAAATGTTCATAAATTATACATTTTTGTTGCAAGCATGTTAGATGGATTATTGTAATGTTAGTGGGAAAAAAAACTGGATTGTGATACGTTGATTACGTGCTCTTTGCAATTTTGATAGACCGTTAACACGGCGTAATTTCTTCCAAGAAGTGAATGCCACAGAAATATTTTATCGTATTTTGCAATCACTGAGAATAATCAAATTTACAATTTAAATATTGGATAGAATCTCAATTCACATTTTTTACATAATAATATTTTTTATCAAATTTTAAACTAGAAATTATAGATTATTATATATTTTAGAAAATCACATTTATCAAAGGAATTGTGATAATAACTACAAAAAAAAGAGAGAGTTTTTTAACGAGTACAAAAATTTAAAACAATTATTTAAAACATTTAAAATTATTTAATAAAAAACATATGTTTTTATATACAACGCAAAAACTATTTAAATTTATTTCATCGAAAGTTAAACGATACGTCAGCTTTTTAAATTAAATAACTTGCACATTAGAATTTGCAGATACTCATCGTCAGCATAAATATGAGTTTATAATTGAAAAAGAGAAATTTTTTTGTGAATTGGACATTATATACATATCTAAAAAGCAATGTAAAATCAGGATTATTCCGTTGAAATCGGGATAAATATTATGTTTAGCGTTCATAGTTCGTTGCCTATGAGAATTAAAGGTTGTTGACTCATTCGGATAGCACGTAAGAGACGAGAGCGATGCAGGTGCGGCTCCCGCGTCTTTCTCGCTAACTCTCGTCTCATCTCAATCGGCCGCTTTTACTGCAAATTGCTTCCTCGACAAGATTTATATATATATATATGTATACGTACTGCGATGC